AAAAAAAAAAAAAAAAAAAAAAAAAAAGAGAAGAAAAAAATGATTGATAGAATAGGAAAAGTGGATACGGGAAAGCAAAATTGTGGTAAATGAGATAGCAGCAAACGAGTGAGTGAGTGACGATGATGACCAAAAGTGTTGACGAGGAGAACTGATGAACAATAATCTGAAGCTAACCGATAGCAGCGTTGTTAGAGGTTTACGACGATTTAGATGGTGGTTTTAATTAATTTTGTTTTTCTTGAATATCACTTAAACAGGTTAAGACTTTTTTTGTTTTTTTTTCCATTTGATACATTAATATTGGTGATCTTAAAAACGATAACCGAGGACCGTGTTGGCGCTACTGTAATTGGCAGTGATTGTTTTTTGATCAGATCAGTGTAAAACAAAAGGAAAGCAGGAAAACAAAAAAAAAAAACCATGACATTTATTTCCACATGATTATATGGTTGATAATCAGCAGCAACTTATGGTCGACGTTATTTTTTTGTAGATGAAAAATCTGTATGTGTTATACACTGATCTAGTTTTTTTTTTTACTATGTTGTTCAAACATTTTTTTTTGTCATCTGTTGTCGTTTTATGTGGTCGAAGCAGACGGATAAATTGTTTCTGGATGAACAATGATACAGCTAATGATTGAGTGGTTTATAGAAGAATACATCATCATCACCATCAGCATCATCATCAGCATCATCATCAGCATCATCAGCATCGGCATCATCAGCATCGGCATCATCAGCATCATCAGCATCATCAGCAACAGCAGCAGCAGCAGTATTGGTTACTGCTATTTGTATAGAGAAGGTAAAAAAAAACAAGGAGGAAAAAAAAAATTTAATCCTGTCGTCATCGTATTCGTTGTTCTCATCATTGTCATATGCTTTTTTTTGCTTCTCTTATTTTGGTTTCTCTCCCAATTTTTTTTACCTTAAAATGAACAGAAAAAATCATTGCATTTCGCTATTTCTTTTTTTTTTGTCGCATTAAAAATAAACTGT